CGCTCACAGTTCTTGGTTTTGGTAAACAATAGATGTTATGATATTGAATTGTCATATCATATAAGTTTTTGCTGTCTTAGAACATCAGATCACCAGTATAGTATTCGGATCTGTAATTTTATCGACTGTTTACTATTTCTGATTCTGACGTTTTGAATGAGTGTGAAATCACATGAAGGGTGATGTATGCGTAACAAGAGACGCTTACTCTGTCGATGCTCCCGGTCTCGCTAATTTTGAAGTAAATACGAATCCCGCAATTTGTGTTAGATATCTTGATATTAACATCAGTAAACTACTTTCGCCGTAATTGTACCTGCTTAAGTCAATATAAATAAAATAAAAGGGTAGTCGTATAAAAAAATCAAAGTCATCAAACTCACCACCTCCTCATTATTAGACAAATTTTCTTGTATCATCAACTGTACTGCATATGATTACAAAGGAACAACTGTGACAAAGAGATGAAGAACAGTACAGTTCCTTTTTAGCGCGTCGTGACTTTGTTTCATGAATTAATACACTTTGTCCTTTATTTTCTATTACTTTTGCATTATAAACGTGAACAGTTATATTTTCTTACTATTTATTAAACGAACTGTGGGCTACAAGTCAACATTTCGTGTTTAACAGGTGTCACATTCCATTTATATAGCGAAAAATTTAGAATAATGAATTAGACTATGAAGTACTTTCTTTTATAGACAGCCATGCCAAAAGATGTAAGCAACCAGTGCAGATAAAATCTTTTTTAAAGACTTGGAGCTATGCGACCTGTAACGTTGCGACCTGAACATGCTTGATATCAAGTAGGATTTCTGCTCAGTTTTTTTCTCTGTTTGAAGAAAGAGCTTTGATTTTCGGAAAGGTATAAATATAAATGATACGGAAATTCCTAGAGCATATACTATCATGTAACTCGTTCCTTTAATTTGTTTTAACTAGTTCCTAAGAGCTCAAAAGATGTTTCAACGGTAAAATCCATAACTTTGGGTTGTGTAAACGCAAATCATTTTTTCATCTTTGCAGATCAAACACACATGGAAATTGATTGTCACGTGGAGGAAGAAACATTTGTTGAAACTAATGCTGTCAGAAAATGTAAGGAATGGATGGACAAAAAGGATGTTTTCGTCATTATTGGTAAAGAGGGATCAGGGAAATCTAGAAATGGATTGGAAATACTTAGACAGTTTGGTCTAACAGATGAAGATTTTGACTTATTAAAAGTAACAAATATCAAACAGGTAAAGGACATTATTACAGATGAGAGAAAAACTGCTGTATTAATAGATGATGTATTTTCTTCCAGAGAGTACTCTAATAATAATTTAAACAATTGTCATATTTTGGATTTGTTAAATGCAAGGAAATATAAAGGGAATATGAAGATAATCTTTACTGTGGATTCTTCAAAAATGAATTCGTTCAAATATTTACTTGTTTCTCATAGGTTGTTTCAAAATTGTTGTAAAATTGATCTAAGCTCTTCCAGATTTTGCATGAGCGAAGATGAAAAAGCAACCTTGTTGTTTAATTTTTGTAAAAAATATGAAATTCGTATTACATGGAATTCATACATTGGTGATGAAGAGTTTAATTTAGACGGTAGAACAGTTTATGAAATCTCCAAAACAGACCCGTTTATAGGATATCCCAAATTATGCTTTATGTTTACTTCGAACAAAAGTTTTTTACAGCTAGGTATTCATTTTTTCAAGCATCTAGATCAATCCCTTATTGCTGAAATAAACTCACTTAGAGATTCTACCGACATGAATCTTGAAAAGAATATTTCTTATGCTCTGTTGGTTTACACACTACTAAATACTGGTTACTTAGAAATAAACGAAATAGACATATCAAAACTGGAGACAATTATGGAATCATGTGGAAACTGTAAACGAAGACGTTTATTCTACAGTCAAGTTAAAAAAATGGCAGAACAAATGGATGGTCGATTTCTAAAACAAGACATTCAAACAACGGTTTATCATTTTAGACATCCTATGATATATGAAGCATTAGCTATATCATATTATGAAGTCAATCCCTCAGAAGTTATTTCAGTGTTAAACTTTGATTTTATAATCGATTTGATAAAATTAGAGTTCGGGAATTTCGGAAAACAGGAGATGTGTTTGATCATTGCAAAAAATATGTTTGGATATTTGACTAAGCGACTTTTCACATTATTTGAGAAGGATTATATGATGAGATCTGCTGAGTTTGTAAAGATACTTTGCGATTCGTCAATCATACTGCAGAATAACCCAGATTTTATACGTCATTTGATCAAGGAATTTAACAATTGTACATCACAAGATACGATAAACATACGAATTGAGGGTAGACGTGATCAGATTTCATTCCACTTTCCAAGGGCTCTATTGTGGTCCCTTATACAGAAACATAACGTAGATAAACATATTGCAACAGTCCTTCATTTCATTGAAAATGACATGAAAGACGAGCAAAATATGGAAAAAGTTAAAGCAAGTAAAAAAGTAGTAATAGCATGTTTCTATTATTTGTGTGAAACAGACAACTCAGATATGAAGTTGGAACTTATATATGGAATGATAAATGAGTATAGAATAGAGTGTAATTACGATTTTAGCATACAAATAGCACTGAAAAATGGTAATGATCCAGCTGTTAGCTTTCTTTTAAGCCATGTATCGAAAGAAATTGATATTGTAGATCTAGTTTTTGAAATAGAAGATATTAGGAGATTGTGCGACTTGATATCAACAAATCTTTCCATAGAATGTATTGACACATATAACAAAACCGATATTCTGAAGATTTTGTTTAAATCGTTACCTCTGAATTTGTTCAATTTAAGAAAATCCATCAAAACAGCTTGCATCAGACTTTGTAAAGATCTTGTGACAGAAATTTTGATTGATACTCGGCCTTTAACATTTGACACAGGTAGTATTGTTAATACAGCATGTGAGAATGGCTGGGAGGATGTATTAAAGATTCTGTTGAACAAGAAGTTATGCAACCAGAATGAAAAGAAGCAAATTTTTACTACTTCATGCAAAGATGGCATGGAAACATTTCTAGAGTGGATGTTATTTACAGCCGATACAGGTGTGCTAGATGTTCAAGAGTTTCTCCTTGAGGATTTCAGTTACGAAAATTTTGAGGCTGTTAAGAATTTTATATGGAAATTGCAAAACTATCAGCAAATGGAAACGATGATAAAGAAGGTATTTACACAATTCAGTTTGACAGTTTTTCGTTTTATCCAGTGGATAATAGAAGATACTGATAAACAAATAGATACAGTTATCAAATCCGATTTACAAAATTTAAATATACTTCGGTTGATATATGAAAGATTCCCCGATTTACAAATCGATGTAAAGAGCACCGCGTTGAAAACAATCAACGACAAAATCAATAATTTTGATGATATATTACAATGGTTACATGAGAATATAAAAACAATGTTTCATCCTATTACATCGTTACTCAATTTCTCATGTAGAAATGATCTTAAAAAAATTATAAAATGGATTTTGCGTAATTATGACCACTCTATATTCAATATACATGAACTGATAATAGACACATGTAAAGCACGATGTTACAAAACAGCAGAAGTAATCATCAGTGAAGTTGACGTCATTTCAATCATTACTGCAATGCTTTCAACATATCAAAATAATAGTTCGAAAGATCTTTTTCTTTTCTTGATACAAAATATTGACCAAAAATATTACAGGTGGATAGATATCATCAAAGTAATGGTTAACTTAGAGTTGTATAGTTTCATTAAACTTATGTTACATCATGTAGACTATTCTAAGATTGATTTGACAGAAGCAATGAATTATGCTTGTGTTGTGGGAAAACTAGACACAGTGAAATTGTTGATACAGAATATTGACAAGAAATTATTTGATATGATGGAAGCAATGAATAAAGCTTGTGGGTCGGAAAACCTTGACATGGTAAAATGCTTGATAGAGAATGTTGACAATAAATTATTTGATATGAAGGAAGCAATGAACAATGCCTGTCGGTCGGAAAACCTTGACATAGTGAAATGGTTGATAAAGAATTTTGACAATGAATTATTTGATATGAAGGAAGCAATGAACAATGCCTGTCTTATGGGAAAACTAGACACAGTGAAATGGTTGATAGAGAATTTTGACAATGAATTATTTGATATGAAGGAAGATATTAACAATGTCTGTGGGTCGAAAAATCTTGACGTAGTGAAATGGTTGATAGAGAATTTTGACAATAAATTATTTGATATGAAGGAAGCAATCAAGAATGCCTGTCTTATGGGAAAACTAGACACAGTGAAATGGTTGATACAGAATTTTCACAATAAATCATTTGATATGAAGGAAGCAATGAATAAATCTTATGGATCGAAAAATCTTGACATGGTGAAATGGTTCATAGAAAGTTTTGATAATAAATTATTTGATATGAAGGAAGCAATGAACAATGCTTGGGAGTCGGAACAATTTGGCATAGTGAAATGGTTATTAGAGAATTTTGACAATAAATCATTCGATATGATTGAAGTAATGAACAATGCTTGTGGGTTGCAAAACCATGACGTAGTGAAATGGTTGATAGAGAATTTTGACAATAAATTATTTGATATGAAGGAAGCAATCAAAATTGCCTGTTTTATGGGAAAACTTGACACAGTGAAATGGTTGATAGAGAATGTTGACAATACATTATTTGATATGAAGGAAGCAATGAACAATGCCTGTTGGTCAAAAGACCTTGACATAGTGAAATGGTTGATAGAGAATTTTGACAATAAATCATTTGATCTGAACGAAGCAATGAACAATGCTTGTAGGTCGGAAAACCTTGACATAGTGATATGGTTGATAGATTATTTTGACAATTATTTATTTAATATGATAGAAGCAATGAACAATGCTTGTAGGTCGCCAAACCTTGACGTAGTGAAATGGTTGATAGTGAATATTGACAATAAGTTATTTGATATGAAGGAAGCAATGGACAATGCCTGTATTATGGGAACACTTGACACAGTGCAATGGTTGATAGAGAATGTTGACAATACATTATTTGATATGAAGGAAGCAATGAACAATGCCTGTTGGTCGAAAGACCTTGACATAGTGAAATGGTTGATAGAGAATTTTGACAATAAATCATTTGATCTGAAGGAAGCAATGAACAATGCTTGTATGTCGGAAAACCTTGACATAGTGACATGGTTGATAGATAATTTTGACAATTATTTATTTAATATGATAGAAGCAATGAACAATGCTTGTAGGTCGCCAAACCTTGACGTAGTGAAATGGTTGATGGTGAATATTGACAATAAATTATTTGATATGAAGGAAGCAATGAACAATGCCTGTATTATGGGAACACTTGACACAGTGCAATGGTTGATAGAGAATTTTGACAATTATTTATTTAATATGAAAGAAGCAATGAACAATGCTTGTAGGTCGCCAAACCTTGACGTAGTCAAATGGTTGATAGAGAATTTTGACAATAAATTATTTGATATGAAGGAAGCAATGGACAATGCATGTCTTATGGGAACACTAGACACAGTGAAATGGTTGATAGAGAATTTTGACAAAAAATTGTTTGATTTGAAGGAAGCAATGATTAAAGCTTGTTGGTCGAAAAACCTTGACATAGTGAATTGGTTGATAGAGAGTTTTGACTATAAATTATTTGATATGAAGGAAGCAATGACGAATGCCTGTCTTATGGGAAAACTAGACACAGTGAAATGGTTGATAGAAAACTTTGACAATAAATTATTTGATATGAAGGAAGCAATGAATGAAGCTTGTGGGTCGGAAAACCTTGACATAGTAAAATGGTTGATAGTGAGTTTTGACAATAAATTATTTGATATGATAGAAGCAATGGACAATGCCTGTCTTATGGGTATACTAGACACAGTGAAATGGTTGATAGACAATTTTGACAATAAAGTATTTGATATGACGGAAGCAATGAATAAAGCTTGTTGCTCGAAAAACCTTGACATAGTAAAATGGTTGAAAGAGAGTTTTGACAATAAATTATTTGATATGAAGGAAGCAATGAACAATGCCTGCTGGTCAAAAAACCTTGACATAGTGAAATGGTTGATAGAGAATTTTGACAATAAATCATTTGATATGAAGGAAGCAATGAACAATGCCTGTCGGTCGAAAAATATTGACACAGTGAAATGGTTGATAGAGAATTTTGACAATGAATCATTTGATATGAAGGAAGCAATGAACAATGCCTGCTGGTCAAAAAACCTTGACATAGTGAAATGGTTGATAGAGAATTTTGACAATAAATCATTTGATATGAAGGAAGCAATGAACAATGCCTGTCGGTCGAAAAATATTGACACAGTGAAATGGTTGATAGAGAATTTTGACAATGAATCATTTGATATGAAGGAAGCAATTAATAAAGCTTCTGGGTTGGAAAACCTTGACATAGTGAAATGGTTGATAGAGAATGTTGACAATAAATTATTTGATATGAACACAGCAATGACTTAAGCTTGTAGAGGTAAATTGAGTTCTACAACAATAGAATGATTGTGGAACAATGCCGATCAGGGGTTGTTTGACATGAACGTCGTTATGACTATTGCTTGTAGGTATAACAGAGAAAATATTATTGAATGGCTTTGGAAAAATGTTGATCATTCAAATTTCAGAACAAACGAAGCATTTCCCAATGCATGTTAAATTGAACAACAGCCTATTGTTAGATGGATGATAGAAAACCTGCCGAGGGAATTACTTAATATTTCGAATTCAGTTCACATTGCAGGTTCAGGGAATTCCAGTGACGGGATTATTTTTTAATGCTTTTACAGCATACAAATAATTCTAGCTTAAATATTAATTTGATCATACGTGAAGCTTGTAAGTATGCCAAAAAGGCAATAATTCAACATTTTTTTAACACGACAGACGTCAGAATGATTGATATGAATCAAGCAATGACAACCGTTCTGTCCATTGATGTCAACTCCGATTCATATTCAGACGAACACAGACTATTGAAAGATGAAGAGAAAAGACAATTGGCTAGGACAATTATAACGAAAACAACATTATCTATGCTTAACTCTGACGAATTGATAATAGAAATAAACAAAATAGCTCAATTTGCTTTTGTTGATACGGTCATATAAATATGGTCCAATCAAAATTAGGAATAGCTTGTGAATACGGAAGAGAAAATATTGTCCATTGGGCGGTTAGTAATCTTGACCTAAAAATGATCAATGTAAAAGCCACGATAACTGAATCTTGTAGTTATGGGTGGCTGGACATTGTGAAGAAAATATGAACTAAGGAAAAAAACGCCAAGTTTGATATAAAATCTGCAATGAATGAAGGCTGTTCGTATGGACGACTAGAAATAGTCATACAAAAACCTATTTGTCATCAATGTTGTTATGGAAATATCCTGTAGAAATGGTTGGATCGATAGCGTAAAGTATATCCAAACATTGAACTTAAGTTTATGCAATGTAGCAGTCGCTATAACGGCGTCATCTACCACCGGTAATTAGGAGCTTGTTCAAATATCATTTAAACAATTTGGAAAAGAGCATTTTGATTTTGAAATAGATAGTTTCGTCTTCATAAATGCTGATCTTGCAATTCTGTTATTACAAGAGTTCGATCTTGATATGTTTTATATTCCGAAAATTTTCACAGCTGCATGCATATTTGGATGAATTAATGTTATTATATACATTAAAGACAAAGTGATTATCAACTGTAATGTAAACGATGGGATGGCAAAGGCCTGCGATCAAGGTGAAGATAAAATCGTTACTTATTTGCTACAAGAATTACCACAGAATCGATTTGATTTCCAATCTTCATTACTCGCAGCTTGTGAAAATAGCTGGGATAAAAAAAAAACGCAGCTATACTCTTAAATACTGTTCACCACAATATACTAAGTATTGGAAATAACTTATAATTATTTGTCGAAGCGGTGAGTCTGACATTGGAAGCATAATCTTAAAAAAAGATTTGAATTATATTATAAATATACTGATGTGGTTCTGAAGTGTTTCTCGTTTCTCGTTTTTTATATAGATTAGACCGTTGGTTTTGCTGTTTGAATTGTTTTATACTAGTCTTTTTGGTGCCCTTTATATATAATTATAGCTTGCTGTTCGGTGTGAGCCAATGCTCCGTGTTGAAGGCCGTACTTTGACCTATAATTGTTAACTTTTTACACATTGTGACTTGGATGGAGAGTTGTCTTATTGGCACTCATACCACATCTTTTTATTTCTATGAACAAAGATACGAAAAATGAACAGGTGGTATTACACATCGTAAAAAACACACACAAAACAAAATTGGACAAAAAAAGGTTTTTTTTATTTTTTTTAATATATGATTATTTACTTAACAATACGGCTATTTTAGCTGTTTAGATATGCCAGTACAGAGAGATTAAGTTAATTAGGTATGTCAGTACAGAAAACTTCGGTTAATTAGGTATGCTATATAGTACATATGGGGCCTCGGTGGCCGACTGTTCCAAGTAGTCGAACTACTGTATCACTAGCCTGACAATCTTAATTGACTAGGATTGTCAGTTTTCCTATCGAAGGTCGGCGGTTCTCTCTGGGTACTCCGGCTCCCTCCACAAATAAAAACTTGCCGCCACGAAATAGCACAATAGTGTTGAAAGTGGTAATATACACGAATCAATTAATCAATCAATCATATATAGTAAATATAGTATTAGCTAAGAATGCATGGACGAATTCAGAGTATTAGAAATGCAATTATTGGAAAAAATAAATTTTCAGAAGCGTTCACACTAAGAGTTTAAATTAACTGGATACATAAATCCAAAAAAATACTTATACAATATGTCAAGCGTAATGTTCCATACGTTTGGTTGCACTTTGAAAATATAGACAATGTAATTTCCTATAGGAACCCCTTTTACGGCTAAAACTGTGCCACTTTTATTATAAAGTTTCGTAAAAAAATATATCTTAGAATGGAAAGTTTATATGCACTGCTATTTTTTTTCAAAGGTCAAAACATTGGGCTATGCGGCATATTTTCAACATTTATATGCATCAAACTTCTAAGAGTTTAAACTTATACTAAAATTCTGTACTACACCTCCCTTCACTTTGGGTCTTCCTAGGAATTCAATTTGGCCAGTATCTGTATGTATATCTAGGAATATTATATGTCTCCCCAAAAGAGGCGTGGTTTGTGAAACAGCTGTTTTTACAAAATGCAACCCATATTAATACGCAATACAGTTATTTGTTTTCTACAAGATTGATAATAGGATGTGTTATATAGCTATAACTATAAATGGACAACCCAAAACGTCTGATGTTCTAGTCTTTAATATGTAAAAAGTATTGATATTAAATTTGTCTATGCATAAACAGAGTTTCATACTATTATAATTTAGACAAATTACAAAACAACTGACTAGAGATCTGCACATAGTAGTTTTGTTTTAGAAATTGTTCAGTTTTTCAAAAAAAAATCAATAATTTTTAAAACCATGTTTTTTTAATAACAAAATTAACATCTTGAAATTCCTATTCTTCATTATTTTTTTTCCAATAAAGCGTTTCTTTTGGTCTACGTTGCTATTGACCATTGTCTGATTATCCTCGAGCTATAGTTTTCATTGACCATTGTCTGATTGTCTTTGAACGATAGTTTTTCACTGATTTTGGTATGATTATCTTTGAACTATAGTTTTTCATTGACCATTGCCTGATTATCTTTGACCTATAGTTTTTCAGTGACCATTGTCTGATTCTCTTCGACGTAAAGTTTTCCCTTTTTGACCATTGTCTGATTATCTTCGACCTATAGTTTTATTTTTTACCATTGTCTGTTTATCTTCGATCTATAGTTTTTCATTGACTATTGTCTGATTATCTTTGAACTATAGTTTTTCATTGACCATTGCCTGATTATCTTTGACCTATAGTTTTTTATTGACCATTGTCTGATTATCTTTGATCTATAGTTTTTCAGTGACCATTGTCTGATTCTATGGAACTTAAAGTTTTTAGGCCATTGTCTGATTATCTTTGACCTATAGTTTTTTATTGACCATTGTCTGTTTATCTTCAATCTATAGTTTTTCATTGATCATTGTCTGACTATCTTTGACCTATGTTGATATTGACCATTGTCTGATTATCTATGACCTATTGAACTACTTCACTACTTGGTATGTTCTAACTGTAATAGTTTTTATAGTTGTTATAGTTAAGGAGTTCTCGTGAAATAACTTAACAAATTAAGCTGATTGAACTCTGTTTGATGTTAAATATTTACTTTTCATCAAATTTTAATGAAATGCTTCCTTTGTAATCTTTATAATCAGTGTTGATGATAACTTTATTTCAGTTCTGGAATAGGTCAGATATGTTATTGAATTATTGATTTGTGATGATTGCTTTTTTTTTGTAATGGGTCAGGTACGATGTTGAATTATCGTTTTTTGATCTGCAAGAGGTCTGTTTGAGATGAATGAAAAAAGAACTATTTTTGCGATTTTGTTGATTTGGGTAAATTTGTAAAAGATTTCCTTTTGTAGAAGGAAATTATGAGATACCTTAATTTCCTGGTATACGTTTTATAATTATGTGTGTTATTATGATTATTATGGCATATTTGCAGAGTAAAAAAATTTAACACTAGCATGAATTTCTTTTAGAGGTTTGTCCTTTTATACATTAATGAACTTATTGCTGAAGTGCTGTACAGATTTTTAAATTTATTATAAAAGTACATGTTTTTGTATAGTGACATGGACTTGTTGCGGGATTGTAATTTGTATGCTTATATATATTAAGATATGTTCAGTAGTTTGAATTAGAATAGTACTTGAATTCTTATTTTCCTAAAAGCCAAAAATAAAACGTGATTCTTCCATGCAATATGTTTTTTTAGTGATTTTTACACTTTCTTAAATCCTTGTTATTCTATTTGGCCACTGAACCCTGAACTCTAACGCTGCAAATGTAAGGTATGAAAGATGTCTTTGCTAGTGAGTTTTTAAAATGAAGTTTGCTTATATGATGTATTGAACAATTTTGCACAATGCTTGATGATCGAATGTTAACAAAACACTTTTCAGGAAGCCCAGCAAAATTGAGAACTGACTCAGTTGATGCTGAAAGATAAGCAGTTCATGTTCCACTGGTGGAATCCTTCATATTACTAATGGCGAATCAGTACTCTATGGTCTGTATCATGATCGATACCTTTATGCCGCCCATTCAAATTATTTTTTTATATTCGTTTGTTCTTTTAAATAACTATTTAAACCTTTATCATAATCCGGACCCGGGTAGCATAAATGTTTTGTATTATCGTTAAAATTGTTAGCATAAAATGTTTATTGAATTTCTTTGATTGTTCAATTATAACAAGCTGGTGACATGCCTTGCATCTGTTCACATGAGAAGCTGTATTAAAACTGAGGCCAAATATTGGTTTTTAACTAAACATAATAATTCAAA